GGTGCCTGCCACAATGCCTGGCTATTTTTTGGTTTCAGCCGTCATTGGTGGGCCCGGGCTGAATTCGAACCCGCCACCTTAGGTGTACATGGCTGGCGCCTTAGCCACTTGAGCTACAGGTGCCGAGCCTATTCGCGAGGATTCTGTAGAAATTCATATAGAAGAAGACAGGTGAATTCAACTATTGTAAGGCTTAGTGTGCAGTTGGGCAGGTGCTGAGTATGAACTGAATGAACAGATTATGAGGTCATTTATCTAAATTTGTGGTTTCACATCTCTTTCAGTTCTCCTAGCTACTTGGGAAATTATTTTTATAAGCTAATATGCACTTTTTTTGAGGATTCTTATAAGAAACAAATATGTGTATGCAGTATTTGATATCTGATATCTGATATCTGCTCGGGGGTAAAACACAAAATGGTTCTCTGTGTGAATTTATTTAGAACTATGAAAAAGTTTGGCTCGTCTGACATTACAATTCCCAATATATGAATATTTATTATAAACAAGTATTATTCTACTAACATACTACTGCATACATTATAAAACAGTTAGAAATCTTAAAGAGATAACAGTAATAGAAGTTTAATAGTATCATCTGTGTTTTGATGAACCTTTGGAGATGAGTATCAAGATATACTGATACTCCTTTCCCTGTAATAGCAATAGCTGCTACATAGCCCAAAATATCTGTGTCTGTATGTGAGGGATATAGTGATTGGTTGAAGACAAGACATGGTTTTAATATCACAATAATAGCAAATGGTTATTATTTCTTACTAGCTCATTGAGTTTTGAAATTGTGTGAGTCAAATCGGGTCTTCAGAAGGAATCTGTACAAGTGTATCCTACTCCAAATAAAACTAGTATATGAAAATCTCACCTAAATAGATATTCATTTTAAGGAATTATGAGCATTTTAAAAATTATAGAAAGTAGTAAATAAAAGGGGTATACCCATATGTACATATTTGTACCAAAAAGATTTTTAAGAAATATTTGATAGAGTGGTTCTTTGGCAAAAATATTCAGAAATATTCAACATAGATTTTCTATAGCATAAATCTTTTTATTTTTTTTTTAAACAGTCTCGCTATGTCACCCTTGGTAGACAACAGCCTCAAACTCTTGGGCTTAAGTGATTCTCTTGCCTCAGCCTCCCAAGTAGCTGGGACTACAGGTGCCTGCCACAATATAGCATAAATCTTTATATGTCCTTTCTTTGGAATTTTGTTATAGGTGATTGTTAAATGGGAATTATAATTGAATTGTGATGGGTGTTAAATGAGAATTATAATTGGATATATTATCCATTTTCAGGTAATAGATTCCATGGATGCATTAGATAAAGTTGTCCAGGAGAGAGAGGATGCTCTAAGGCTTCTTCAGACTGGTCAAGAGTACCCTAGACCTGGTGCTTGGAGAAGAAACATCTTTGGAAGGATCATCTGGTACGTAACTTAAACTGTGGCTCTTCTTAAGATTGGAGATCCCATGCCTCATTCCCTTGCTAGTGTCTTTTTAAAAATTAATGATTTATTTATTTATTTTTTTGAGACAAGGCCTCATGGTCTCACCCCAGCTAGAGTGCAGTGGTATAATCATAGCTTATAGCAACCTCAAAATCTTGGGCTTGGCTCAGAGCCCATAGCAGAGTGGTTATGGACCCAGCTACATACACTGAGGGTGGCAGATTCCAACCCAGCCTTGCCTAGCTAAACATCAGTGACAACTGCAATAAAAAATAGCCTGGGCATCGTGGCAGGCCCCTGTCGTCGTCCTACTACTTGGGAGGCAGAGGCAGGAGAATCACTTAAGCCCAAGAGTTGCAAGTTGCTGTGAGCTATGATGCCGTGTCACTCTACTGAGGGCGACATAGACTATCTCAAAAAAAAAATCTTGAGCTCAAGTGATCCTCCTGCCTCTGCCTCCTGAATAGGTGGGACTACAGGTGTGTGTCGCCATGCCCAGCTAAATTTTCAATTTTTTGTAGAGGCAGGGTCTCTTGCTCTTGGTCAGGCTGGTTTCAAACTCCTGAATGTTAGTGATCCTCCCACCTCAGCTTCTCAGAGTGTTATAATAACAGGCATGAGACACTACACCCAGCCTCCTGCCAGTATCTTTTTTTTTTTTGTAAAGAGAGAGTCTTACTTTTACTTTATCACCCTCAGTAGAGTGCCATGGTGTCACAGCAACCTCCAACTCCTGGGCTGAGGCAATTCTCTTGCCTCAGTCTCCCGAGGAGCTGGGACTACAGACGCTCGCCACAACGCCCGGCTATTCTTTTTGTTGCAGTTTGGTCGGGGCCAGGTTTGAACCCGCCACCCTCTGATATGGGGCTGGTGCCCAACCCACTGAGCCACAGGCACCACCCAATGATAGTATCTTTTAATGGAGTTTGTGGTGCATCTGCTTGGAGCCACATTCAGGGGATTAGCTGTGCTGTTGGTAACCATTTAATCCAACACAGAAAAAAAGGAAGTTGGCAAGACATCTCACTATAAGTGTTTATTTTCTGCTAATTTTAATTTAGATTAACACATTTGAGGTCAATGAAGAAAATGGAAATGTAGTATATGTTTCTTTTTAATTTTTTGCTTTCTTGGCAGGCACAAATTCAAGCAGTGGCCTATACCTTGGTACCTAAATAAAAGATACCGTAAGAAACGATTCTTTGCAATGCCTTATGTGGAACATTTTGTCAGGTGAGCACAAGTACTCTTAGTAATGAGACGTAGTATCTTCATGTGAGATGGCCTATGTTGTACTTTCTTTCCAATTTTAGTATATGTGCTGCCGAAGCAAGCACTATACGTTCTTTGACATAAAGAAATGACATAAATAATAAAATAAAAAAGTCAGGTGAAAAAGAAGAAAATTAAAGTCATATGTAATCTCACCATCTGAAAATAGCCACTGTTAACATTATAGGGCATATCCTTTCAAAAGTTTTATTGCCTTTTTTATCTACCTATATATAAATCCTCCTGTAACATCAAAATGAAGGTCCAAGTGATTCAGTTGCATTAAATGTGTGCTCATATTACTGCTAGACAGAGGAAAAGAAATAGGGAGAGGGAGAGGAAAGAAGTCTCTGGCATTATTTCTGAACATAATACATGGTATCTTGTGAAATGTTACCTCCAAGTATTTCCTATACCAGATTTTTCCTGCGTTAGGTTTATCATTGAATAGAAAGAATATATAGCTTCTGTTAAGGTAGAGGAGTGCAGTGGTCCAGTGAATCACTAGCTGATAATTATAAATTCTTTTAAAAGAGCTATTATAAAACATTAGATCCAGGCAGGGTATGGTGGTTCGTGACTGCTGTAATTGTAGCACTTTTGGAAGGTGAGGCAGGAGGATTGCTTGAGGCCAGGAGTTTGAGACTAGCCTGAGTGAGAGAAAGAGCCTATCTCTACTAAAAATAAAAGAAATTATCCGAGCATGATGGTAGGCCCTGTAGTCCCAGCTACTTGGAAGGCTGAAACAAGAGGATCGTTTGAGCCCAGGAGTTTCAGGTTGCTGTGAGCTATGATGATGCCATTGCATTACAGCCTGGGCAAAAAAATAAAACTATCTTAAAAAAATAAAACAGTTGATCCACATCCAAAACAGAAACCAGAGAGAAAATTGAATTCCCAGAGCTACAGTTAGAGAGGAAAAGAATTGCATGTTTATGGTTTCCTGGGCCCGAAATGCTGCTTAACTCCATTGTAGTGGCTGCAGGGAGAGACAGGGTAGGGAAGCCACGGGGTTCTTCATTATAGGTGCCAGAAGTCAGAAGTCAAGGCCGGAAAAGCAGCTGGAAAGGGGAATGAGAAAAACTAGCAGCCCAGAAAGCACAGCTTTTTTTTTTTTTTTTTTTTTT